TTCCATGGTCAGATCAGAATCAAAGACAGGCAGCTCCCAGATCTCTGGTCACTTATACTTGGTAAGAGTTCTAGTGGATCTTGCCGGTCTACCCATTTGAAGCAGGCTGGAGTTTCATTCCAATATCTAAATCATACATGCTATGTAAAAGGTGCTCTTCTAAGTTCTGATCTCCATTCTCATTCGAGTCAGATGTAGGACTGGGTCATCTGCTATCAGAACAACTGCTCATTGTCAAATGTAGGACTGGAACAGCCAGAACTGGGAGGTATGACCTCAAACCTGCACGTGGGATTTCCTCTCCATTAATTTTGTCAATTTATTCTTAATCCTTGAATCCATTAACCTTGGTTCTGCTAGCTTGAGATGCCTTTTGAGGCTTTCAGAATTTGTGTTCCTTTCAAAGGCACTTTTGTCCCCTGCATACAAATTAGTCCACAAATTGCACCAGAAAATCACTCCTTAATATGTTTCATTTAAGCATCTACTGCATATAGAAATCCTGTTTGTCTTTATTTCAAACAGAGACCACTAGTTCATTGTATGAGGCGAAAACTATATTAAGCTATCAGAAGCTCAAAGGGATAGCGCTTAAGCATAAACAACACCAAGAAAAGTTTACGCCGTCTTTCTTTTCACAATCCTCTTCTCACTTATCCAACTTCTACTACAGCAATTTCATTTTTTTAATGTCTTTAATACAGCAAAATACCTCAAGGAGTTTCATAGCAAAATTTCACTTCAAACAAAATTTGCCACAGAAGTTTGGTCTAAGAGACAGTTCCACTAGTGCTAGCAAATGTGTCACACCTCACCCAAGACAACACTTCTCATGTTTCCAAAACCTCAACTGCAAGCATGAGAACCCAAATCTGTTCTTGCCCATAAGACCAGAAGATATAGGAGCAGAATTAGGCCATTCAGCCAATCAAGTCTTCTCTGCCATAACATGGCTAATATAATCATGTCCACTGACTCTCCTTAGCTTAACTTGCTCATTACCTCCTCAAAGAATTCTAACAGATTTGTCAGGCATGACCCTCTCCTTGAGAAAGCCATGCTGGCTCAGCTCTATTTTACCCATGCAGTTCCAATTACTCCACAATCTCATCAAAAGTTAGACAAAGGAAAGCCGGTACATGCAATTACATTTGGATTCCGAGAAGGTCTTTGACAAGACACCGTGCAGGAGGCTGCTAAATAATAAGAGCCAATAGTGTTAGGGGCAAGGTACAGACATGGATAGAGGACTGACTGACTAGCAGATAGCAGAGAGTAGGGATAAAGGGGTCTTTTTCTGGATGGCAGCCAGTGACTAGCGGAGTTCTCAAAAGATCCGGGTTGGGACCACAACTATTCACGTATACAACTTCATCCTTAATAAAGGACTCTGAAATTTTATCAATGACCGAGGTCAGGCTATCCAACCTATAGTTTCCTGCCTCCTGTGTTACATTAGCCATTTTCCAGCCCATTGGAACCCTTCCTGACTTGTGATTCCTGAAAGATCATCACCAATGTCTCTACAATCTCCTCAGCTATCTCCTTCAGAAGTCTGGGTGTGGTACATCTGTTCTGGGTGATTTATCCACCTTCAGACCTTTCAGCTTCTCCAGCACCTTCTCCTTAGTGATGGCCACTACACTCAGCTCTGCTTTCTGACTTTCTTCAGGTTCTGGTATGCTGCTGGTGTCTTCCACTGTGAAAACTGATGCAAAGTACATATTCAGTCCCACCACCATTTCTTTGTTCTCCCCTGCTACTTCGCCAGTCTCATTTTCCAGCAGTCCAACGTCTACTCTTGCCTCTTCCTTACCTTGTAGATATCTAAAAAAAACTCTTGCAATCTTCTCTTATATTACTAACTAGCTTACTCCCATATTTCATCTTCTTCCTCCTTATTGCATATTTTATTTATCCTCTGCTGGCTTTTAAAGATTTCCCAATCATCCTCACTACACAGTATGATTTTTCTTTTATTTTTATGCTTTCCCTGACTTCTCTTGTCAGCCATGGTTGTCTCATCCTCCCCTCAGTATATTTCTTCTTCCTTGAGATGAATTTCTGCCATGCCTCCCAAATTACCCCCAGAAACCCCTACCACTGCTGTTCCACTGTCTTCCCTGTTAGGCTCCCCTTCAAATCTTCTCTGGCCAGCTCCACCCTCATGTCTTTGTAGTTAACTTTATTCAATTGTAATATCATTAAATTTGATTCAATATTCTCCCTCCCAAACTGTAGAGTGAATTTGATCATATTATGGTCATTGTCCCCAGGGGTTCCTTCATCTAAAGCTCCCTAAGCAAGTCTGCCTCATTACACATTACCAAATCCAGAATTGCCTGTTCTCTCATGGGCTCTACACAAGCTGCTCTGAAAAACCACCTCATGGACGTTCCACAAATTTCTTTTCTTGAGGTCCGAGACTGATTTTCCCAGTCCACCTGCATTTTGAAGTTCCTTCTGATTACTGTAATACTGCTTTTCTTAAATGCCTTTTCTATCTCCTGATTTATTTTCTTCTCCACATCCTGACTACACCTAGGAGGCTTGCACACAACTCCCATCAGGGTCTTTTGTCTTTTGTAGTTCCTCAACTCTACCCACACAGATTCTATGCCTTCTGACTCTATATCACTTCTTGCTATCAATTTAGTTTCATTTCTTTCTAACAAGGCAACCCTGCCCCCTCTGCCCATATGCCTGTCTTTTCAATAGGACGTAATGCTTGGATATTTTATTCCCATCCCTGATCCCCTTTGCAACCACATCTCTGTAATACCCACAACATCATACCTGCCGATTTTATTCTGCACTACAAGCTCATTTACCTTGTTTTGTATACTGCGTGTATTTAAATACAACGCCCTCAGTCCTGTATTGACTACACCCCTTCTCATAACTGTCCTCTCATCTGCTTTGCCTGAAGTTAGATTCTTGACCCTTTTCATACACTCTGCCCTATTACTTCTTCTGGAAACTTTAATAACGTCTGCTGAGCCCTCCACCCCTTTGAACTTGCTCCATAAATTTCCATGCATTTAAACCCTGCCCCTGTTTAAAGCCCTATCCAATTCGTCCCATCGGACAAATTTTTCCTTTCTCCCACCCTTTTGAATGGTTTCCTGTAATATGGTGCTATGGTCAGTTTGTTCATCCTCCCTACAGACCCCGCGCTCATTCACACGGAGTAAGAATCTCAAACCTGTTAGATTGGCTCAAGGACTAACACTCCTTCACCTCTCCCTCCTGGAACCCTCTACCTGCCTCACTGGTAGTGACTCCTTCCAGTCCTTGACCACTAACTGAATGAGGTAATTAATCTAAGGGGTGTGACTGCCTCCTGAAACACAGTGTTCAGGTAACTGTCCCCCTCCCTGATGTGTCGCAGTGTTCAAAGCTCAGTCTCCAGCTGATTAATTCTGAGCCAAAGTTCCTCAAGCAACTAACACTTGTTACAGATATGGTCACTATGAGTCACAATGGGGTCCACTGTTCCCACATCATGCAGTTACAACATGTCACCTAGCCCAGCATTTCTATTTTGATTACTTAGTCCTTAATTTGATTCTTTTAAAAAATTGTACGGTCTTTTAGTTAGCTGCCTGTAAATATTTCCCTAATTAACCTCAATCCAAAAGTAATCTATAGTAGATAGTCAAATTAGTAGCTATCACCAATGAACTTATGCTTTACCTGTGAAACCACTCTTTTGTGCTGGGCCCCAATTTGTCCTGTTAAAACAAACTTTACAAACTATGAGCCAAAAAAAGAAGCAACCAAAAAGCACCCCTTCCCCGCTGCACCAAATTCCTACACTGCCTCCAAATTCTCCGAACTATATATACACTCATGCTGTATCTCACTCTGGATAAGACTTACACGTGGAAACAGTACAGAAATTCAAAATTTAAGTGAGTATGGGTGTAAACACACATTCTATCCCTTAAGCAGAGTACACCACACCAATGTTAAACCTTGTTATTAGATGTTTGAACAGAATTCTTTTGTGGATTTCAGCACCAAAACTAGGCATTATCCGTCAAGTCACTGTGGTAAGGAACCTGCTCTTTTAAGGAGACTGGACCAGAAGGAAAACTAAAATTATTTTTACTTGATTGCTCTCTGAAATTACATCAGTAGAGTTATTTATGTCAGAATGCAATAGAGAAAATCAAATGGGACTAATAGCTCTCTATCAGTAATTTGTTTAAGTATACTTGACAGTGTGCTACGCTTGACATTAATATGAAGCATTGATTTTACATTTACAAAATGCTGTAGATGTTCCCATCAAGTCTTTGATTCGGCATGACTCCCACAACATGCCGAATGCTCGCAGCTAGTCTTTAGCACATACTATGATTTTGTGGAGTCAACTTCATTTAAATAGAATTTATGAACTCTCAGACCATTGTGGTTCCAGGATTAGTAGCTTTTTGAACGTGGAGTGAGGAGGAAGTAGGGGTGGAATTTAAAGGTATTGGAATTTTAAGGCATATACTGATTTCTCTAAGATAAAGGTGACTTTCAGAAAGATGCCTGTATCATGGAGCAATAGACAACATGGAGGGGTCAGAGGTAAGAAAATTACGAGAATAAAAGAACGATAGTGGTTACGGATTCCATTGTTGGGTGACTTTTCTGTAGTCATAACTTGGAATCCTGAATAGCATGTTGCTTGCCAGGTGCCAAGGTAACAACAGACAGAAAAAGTGGAGAAACACATAAACATATGATCCATCTTGGAACCAATGATATATGGGGGCCTTCTGAGGGAGCTTAAAGGCTTAAGTGTTTAGTTGCAAGCTCTTAAAAGAGACATTTGTCACATGATTTTGTTATGCATTGTATGTTAATGGATTAAATAGGTCAATGTATGGCTGTACAATTGATGAACAATGTTACTCTTTTTGGGGCACAGGAGAAAGTTCTGGAACAAAGGTGGGTTATATGGAAGAGGCACAAAAATCTATGCAAAAAGAGGGTAAAGCACCAACCTCTTCCTTTAGCCCAACTGTATGATCGGTTGACAATAATACTTTGCCCGTGCTCCATCTGAATAGGTCGTAATTGAAGCTCACTGTTTCTTGCAGTGCTTTTCAACGGCAGAATGTATTTTGGCAAACCCTTGTAAAACCAAGCTCCAGATCTCTTCCAAATCTGGCAAAGATAAGAAATATTATTAAACTCACAAAATTATATTTTTCAGCATAGTGCAATAAATTTTATATCATGAGCATAGCTCCACTCAGCATACACATATTTACTGTACACTTGCTTTCCTTCTTCATCTTAATGCCAATAAAAAAAGTGTTAAACATTTTGATAAATCTAAAAATACTTTCTTAAAACACTTCAAAAAAACTTTGCACAGGGATTTTCATAAAATTGATGATTAAACACCTTAATAAATTCTGCAACTGTCTAGGAAACTGCCATTCATTTTATTCTTATTTGTTCATTGGGACGTGGGCATTGCTCATCCCTTGTTGCAATTGAAAAGTTGGTGGTAAGCTGCCTTGAACCACTGTAGTGTGCTGTTAAAGAGAGTTCCAGATGTTGACCTGGCAACAGTGAAGACAAAGTGATATAATTCCAAGTCAGAATGGTATGTGGCTTGGAGGAAAATAATTAAATAGCATCAGCAATTGGGTGGGCCTGTAGAGGCAAAAAAATACTTCGGAAACATAAAATAGTTTTTAAAACTCCAACGAAAGAATTACGTTAGTCAGGGATGAACTTCAAATGGGATGCTTGGCCTTTTTGGTCCTTGACCTTTTATCAAATAGCTGCACAGCAGTGATCATCTACTTTTTGCAAAAAATATCCACAAACTAACCAATGTAAATGATAAAATAAATAAGGACTGATAGACTCAGTGGTCTTTGCTTGCTGTTATTTTTAGACGTTTCAGGGACCACAGGAAGAAATCCCATAGATCCATCCAAATTTTACAAACAGCAGAGATTCCTAAACAAAAAAAAAAATGAACAGAAGAACAACTGCCTATCTCTGTGTACTCCTTACATTACCCCTTTAATCTGTATGTCTATGGTTAGAAAAACCAATGACATTAATCTTATAGGGCAACTGTCCTCATGAAAGAATTGTTTGTTCAACTTGTTTTTTATTTGTGGGTAAAGGAAAGCATAGAAAGAAGATGGATTTATTTCAGTGCAACTTTAGGCACAAGAGATGCAATCACACATTTTAATATTAAATATCAAGAACAAAAATAAAAGTTGCTGGAAAAGCTCAGCAGATCTGGCAAGATCTGTGAAGAAAAAAATCAGAATTAAAATTTCGGGTCAGGTGACCCTTCCTCAGAACTGTTTTTAAAAATAAAATATCAACTTTGCATGCTTTCATAAACCAACGCCAGCTTGAGCAGTGCTGGAATGCACACTTAAAATAACACTGTTTATTCTTTTAATTTGAATGAAATATTGTCAGTACATTTCTTAACTATTTCTTTAAAAGAGGTCACAGCTGTGCCACTTCAGTTTGGCAGGTACTGCTGATGACTCTCTGTCGCAGTCCAAAATTAATATAGTGATGGAGAACGTTTGAACTTATTGCATTTGCCTTATATCATGTGTTATCATGTTATAAAAAAAAGTGATCAAAGCTGTGGGTAACCTGAAGCACACAGCAGCAACAGCTTAGACTGACAAAAGGTCCAAACTGATCTGTCAGAGGATTATTCTGATGTACTTTTATCTGCAGATTCTCTGGCAAATCTCAGGAACCTCATTAAGATAGTTCCTTTAAAGGTTTATTATTGGAATTTGGAGACATGGTTCAAAATCATTGATAGTACTGTAGAAAGCATTAGTGGAACATATGGACCATATGTAGTGATATTAGTTTGATTCCATTATTACGTGGAACAGTAACAAATTTAAACTAATTCCTGCAGCACTAATTGTGCACTTCTGGAATTTTGTGCCTATTTTCCCACAGCTAAGATTGAGAAACCAGTTACCTTAAAACCTGTTTCTACTTAGTTTAGAAGGTGCAGCTTTTTGGGATACACCCATGTGAGCTGCAGGTCAGAGGTTACACAAAAAAAGTGTTTAACCCACTAAAGTGAAATTATTTTTCCTGATGTCAAACAAAGATTTGTTAGATTGTGGGGTTGGCCAAGACACATCACTCAGCTATGAAACTGAAAAGCTGAGATCTCTGTGAGAAAGGGTGCACATGACAAAGTAACTTCAAAAACAAAAGCAACTATAAAGGGCAGAGATAACAAGGTGTAGAGCTGGATGAACACAGCAGGCCAAGCAGCATCAG